GGCATATAATAAATGATCGATCCACATCAGATATTAGTTTTTGGTTTTTTACTAACCTTAGGGTAGGGAAGAAAATATTAAAAAATAGAATTGTGGAGAAGGGCACAAAATGGTACGCTGGAGGGAGGCTTCCCTCCAATCAAATTGATGGGAAAAGAAAAGGCAAAAAGACATCAAGAATAGAATAAAACGAATTAGCAAATTTTTACAATGATTGAGAAAGTAAAGTACAACCAAGTTAGAGGGAAAGCAGAAATAAATTCATTATTTCATGAGTGTAGTTGTGGGATTAAGTGAAGACAAAACATGAAGCTTACAGCCTCCATCCACCAGGTCTCGAGGGGCAGTCACATTTCTGTCCTTCCCATGATCCACCAGGGCTGCTCCAAGCCCTGGAGATGCTCAAGTGAAGGAGCTGGCAAGGCCCACCCAGCCCTGCCCTTCAAGCTGTGATAAAAACAAACTACAGGCAGTGAGGAGAGGGGAAGACACAGGGGTGGGGGCACTGAAGTCAATTATGCTGAAGTGAATGCGAAATGAGAAACACCATAAGAAAGAAATGGCAAATAAGTAGAAAAGAGCCCAAAGTAATTTCTCAAACACACAGCAAAGGAAAAAGGGAACAGTGGGACAGAAACCAGGAAATAAGACCATCAAAGAAAAGTGGCCTTAAGGAAAAAGAGAAGCAGAAAGGATCAGTAACCAAAACAGACCCTGGTATAAATATTCAGGGTTTCAGTCTCAGCTCCAAAGGGACATTGTGACTGAAGAAAAGACTCGGTTCCCTCCTGCAATCATAATACGAAAGGACTGGATTGGATCACCTGAGGACTCCTCTGGAGCCCCTTGGAATACCCCGTGAAAACAGCTCTCCTCGAATCCAGCTTTGTCTTCCACTTCAGTGGCTGATGTGTGGAGCTCTGTTTAGGGGGTAGCAATAACTCAAGGAGAAAAGAAAACACCAATAATGTAGGAGCAACATGAAGCACACTCAGAAATGAAGAAATAAAGCCTTGCAGAAAAAAAAAAAAAGGAGGGATGTTCAAATGAAACAAAATTATTGCAATTCGCTTAGACTGGTACCTCCTCTGTTAGCAAGCAGAGCATCCGTTAGTTTCCTTTTGTTAGTATTCCATGCTTATTTTATTTTTATGCCCTTGCAAATGGTATTTAGTATCAAATCTCAATTAAAAATTTAAAACAGAAATTTGCCTTCCAAGTGGGTGAACAGGAGAAAAGATGAGAATGAATGTCAGGAGAGGAACAGCACAGCCACGTGTCTCAAATGACAGAAACCTAAAACAAAGTTGTCCATCAAAAAGCATCAAAGATCCAAAATATACAAACAAACACAAAAGTCCTCACAAAAATACAGACTGGTGAGGTTTTGCAACTGATGTGCCTGGCACACTGGTGTGTTTCAAGTGGGCTGCCTCTGTGGCTATATGACTCCTGGGCCACCGGGTACTAAGTGGTGAACTGCCTTGTGCAATTGTCACAATGAGCAACGGCATTACTAAATAATAATAAAATAAATATATGTTACTAATTATCTTTTTAAATAGGTGTGGCATAGCAAAATTTGAGTACTGGAATATTGACCACAGGTTGAGAAGAAGCGAGAAAAATCCACCCATGAAAGGAATTTTCCTAAGGGAGTAATCAGAAAAAGGAGAGCTGGTAGTGCTCAAATATACACCAGGAGGAAAGAAGGAAAGCTCCCTGTTACAATGTAATGCTAAAAATAGATGGTGAACTGCTTATTCTCTGAGCTGGAAGGAATCTTAAAGGTTATGACAGTTCTTGAACACGGGGTTTGCAGTTTTGTGTGCAGACGTCTTCCTCCCCTGCTGGAGTGTAGTCTCCTGACTTGTGGAACCGCCTTGGGTCACATTGGGTTTACAGCCTTGCGGCAGAGTGGCTGATGAAATGCAGGCACGGAATTTGTGTTCATTGAATGAATGAGAAAATTGGTACATTCCCTTCAAATGTGTATTTTACAAATGTCCAGAAAGGCAAATGGAAGTGTAGATGGTTAATGGCCAATTGTCACTAGGGAAAAGATCCCAGATGTCCTTGCTGGCAGGTCAAAGCTCACCATATCTCCTCTGCCAGCTCTCTTTTACTCTATGCATCCTACTAAAGAACATCAAGAGTGTCCTTGCAGGGACTGTGGTTGGCACCGGAATGAAGAATCAATGCCAAAAGTCCTGGTTCTCTCACTCTCTGGGGACTTCAGCAAAATTATCTCTTTTTAAGTCCCAGTTTCCTTCTCTTGAAATATTGTGACTGGATCAAATCATATATGTAACTTTTCAGTTGAACTGAGGACACAAAACCCTACACTGGGAAAATCCCTGCCACCAGGAAAATCCACAAGACAAGTCAGTTTTTCAAGGAAATATTGAACTGAGACCGTCTTCCAAGACTTTTCACACTGACCAATCACACAAGCATTTGTCAATGTTTTGAAACATTTGAACAATGCTTTAAAATTTTTTCATCCTGAGAAAAGAACTACCCGCTTTTTTTAAAAAAAAATCTGACTTTAGAAAAAGATGGTAGAGAACTTTCAAGAGTGTGAGTTTTGAAAGATTTTAATTCATATCTGAATTTGATTGACTTCATTTTTGCTTGTACACAGAAAAGCTAACATTGAGTTCTTTTTTTTTAGAGAATTTTTTAATACTTATTTTTTTTTTTTAGTTTTTGCCGGACACAACATCTTTGTTTGTATGTGGTGCTGAACATGGAACCCGGGCCGCACACATGCCGGGCAAGTGCGCTACCGTTTGAGCCACATTCCCGCCCAAACATTGAGTTCTTGTTGAATCATTAAATCAAGAAGCCAGCCTGTGTCTAGCTTTCGGGCTATTTACTACCATAAAGATTGTGCTTTCAAAAATGGAAAAATTATCAAAAATCATTTTTCAAAGATGCAAAAGTGTGATTTATATCTGTGTCTGAAGGAAAAACTCCAAGCCTAAACTCTCCAGACTCAGCAGGCAGAAGAAGGTCCGAGGCTTCTGCTAGGCAGACACCATAGGAGTGTGTCCCAGTTATGATCCCTCCTCTGCTCTCTGTCCCCCTTTCCCTTGCTGCTGTACTTCCAGGGCTTCAAATACACCTTGTAGGATTAGCTGGTCCAAAATAGCCCTAGGTAAACATACCACCTGTCCAGGAGATTAGAACGCTTTTGCCTATGGGCTCTTTTTTCCCTTCTGCAAAACTAATCCTCAATTCTGAGTTTTCTCCACTTGCATATTGATTTTTTTCTTTATTTTGTATGCCAAACAAAAGATGCATTCTTTATTCCCTCCACTCCCAGCAATTTGTGAACATTACACAATTCCTGTTGAAAACTCTTGGAGAGGAACAATAAAAATCACCTATTTCTAGTTTGCAACTAAAAGGAGTCTTGTGCTTTCCCCTGGATTCTTGGTGAAAGTCCTAAGGATTTTTGAACAGTGCCTACTGCTGTCTTACAGTCCAATAAATGTGATAATTTAGAGCAATGATCCCTTAATTTGGAAAAGGTTTTATAACTTACAATGCACTGCTCTAGAATGTGACACGCAGCTACATATTGAGAGACACACACTAGGGATAACCCAGCAATGCTAGAGTCTGTCATGCCACAGCTAACATAGCTGGTGAGAAGCTGTATGACTTTTGAGTCAAGTGAAACCTAATTTCTAATTGAAGTTTCTTTCATTGCACAAAACAGCAGCGTTCCTCTGCTCCTTTTCAGTCACACGAGGAAAGAAAAAATGAGGCTTATTTCTACTATAGAGGCATGAGTGGGATTTTTTTTCTTACTTCAATCTCCTTTTTTCATTCACTGACATCTTACTAAAGAGTGAAAGTACTACCTAGAAGTATTTGTGATCTCAACTCTTCCCATTCTGAGGAGTACAGGAATAAGAAGGGCAAGCTTGTCCCCACTGTTCTGACATCTTTACACTCTTGTCTGAAGGTGTCTTTGCCCGGTCTCATGTGTTTGACCTGAAGTGTCCTGGTTCAGACCAGCCAAACTCACTCCTCATATCAAGTTCCAAGGACTGTATTTACAGCAGGGATTCCTGTCTGTGAGTGTGGATTAACCTAGGTGTCAGGAATCTATTTTCTCTGATTTCCTTTGCAGAGGGGTAAGCAATGAAGTTGATTTGTTTCTGAAGGGAGAGAACATATATATGACATGAGGGCCCTTGGGGACTAGCCACGGAGCATGATCAATTCAGTCAGAATAGGACCGAATTAACTCCATCCAAAGAACAACTGCGTCTCCAGAATCTCCCCCTTTCCTGGAGGTCAAAGTGCAAAACTTTGGGGGAGGGAGGCAGGAGCTAAGATACATTAAAGACCTTGTACTTGCCCAAAGAAAAAGTGTTCTGATCATTTGAAAACCGAAAAGCAATACACTCCATTTGTATAAGAAATTTCAAAAGGAAAATGAGGGGGGGGGGGGGAAGAGGAGAGAGAAGCATTTCTGCAGATTTTAGTAAACCTTCCTACCATGCAAGCGACAGCCTTGGACTCCTCTTACTTCTTGGGGAGCAAACAGATTAAAGGTGTCCAGTGATCTGAAATGTTAGTGTCTGTCACTGTGCTGTCAGAAATTGTGGGGCTTGCTGTACAATATCCAGACCGGATTTTCATTTCTTTTTCCTGCCAAGTTCTACCAAAGGCTGAAGGGACAGATGGAAGGTTCCCTTTCCTCTTATGGGGGGTGGGGAGGGGAGAAACACTCAAGCATTTTGAAAAAGTAGAAGGGGAAAGCCTGGTAAAGGGGATAGAGGAGTCGGGAGAGAAGGAACTTGGAGAGCAAATGAGCTCCTTCAGACATCACATGGGATTTAGTTTTAACTGCCTATTTCTAGAGGCCATCTCTTTGGCTGTAAATCTCCCACTTCAAACACCAAGAAACGGGATTGTTCTTGTTCTCTTAATCCTGACTATCAAAGTAAAATTCACTCACCAGCAGCTGTTCCAATCTGCTTTCTGGTGACTTCTTGTCATCTGTGTTCCACCACAAAGCTCATGGTGGTGCCATCAAAGGAAGGGGGAGCAATGATCCGCGGTCCCAGGGGCTGCGAAGTGATGCTGATGACAGGTTTGCCGTGCAGCTGGGCGAAGCCCTTGGCTCCCACCAGCTGGGATGTGGCTGCTGGGGCTGAGGAGGAAGAGGTGGCAGGAGACTGACCAGAGGCCATGAAGTATGGGGCCTCTGTGAAAGTTGCAGCTGCCTCTTTGTTGTGAGGCTCGGTCGCCATTGAGAGCTCACCACCCCCTGGAGGGTGAGCAATTGGCGTGGGCTGCAGAGCATTGGTGGGCAGCATTGTGGGCAGAAACCCAGGGTAGATCATGTAGGTGGGTCCATAGGCCCCAGGACTCAGGGCCAAGGGAGGCACAGGGAGGGACATGGGAGTCACAGCCTGCTGCTGGGAGGTTATGGGCACATCCACATATTGCCCTGTCTCAGGGTCAAATAGTCTCCGAGTCATGGGCTGTACTGGTGTGTCCACCAGATAGTACTGGCCAGTGGTCACATCCAGGAGCATCTTACGCTGAGTTTGCTGAGGTGGTGACTGCTGGAAGGGGTCTGTAGGAACAGCAGCTGGGCCTGCAGGAGCTGGGGCAGGCATGCCTGGTGGTGAGAAGCAGAGGACTTGAGGTTGGGCACCCTGGAGGGTAAAAGGCAGTGGCTGCTGGTGGTAGATGGCAGTAGGTGTATGCTCAGGGCTCTGTGGCCCTGAGCGGGCAGCTGCTGTCTCCCGGGGGTTGTCAGGTTTGGTACGCCAAGCTGGCCGGCTGGTTCCACTGACCTGAGAGCCCTTGGGGCTACTGGAGACCTGACTTCGGGCACTCAGTGGGGGTAAGCTACAGAGAGTGGCAGCTGAGGAGATGGGGGCCCCCTCTCTTGCAGCACCAGGTCTACCAGGTAACTCTCCTGCAGCAGAGGTTCCCTTAAGGGGGATAGTCAGGTAATTCTCACAGTCACTATTGCTCTTCTCCAAATTGATGCCACTTTTCCTGTTGGTCGCCTCATTGGGTGGTGCCTGGGTGGCCGGAGAGATCTTGAGGGACCGGAGTCCCTGTGATTTGATGCCCTTGACCACTGAAGAGCTCTCTGGAGAAGGCCCTTGTGGGAACTTGCCAGCGACACCCCCAGTTTTCTGAGTGCTACTGGCACTCACTGTGAACACGTTCCGGTTGCTGGGGAGTGGTGGGAGGGGCTGCAGAGGCTGGGTTCTTTCCACATCTTTGTGGACAGGGGGAATATAGAGGGATCGGGGCCTTTCCCTGGCCATGTTCTCAAAGGCTGCTGCCCGGGCAGACACACTCTCGGTGCTGGGGTTGGAGTTTCTCCTCTGCAGACGTTCCACGGGAGCCCCTCTCAGGACCACAGCACCTTTGTTTCCCGTGCCTCGTTCTTCCACCTCACCTAGTCGTTTGGCCAACTTGTCAGGGTTTCCCTCAGGACCCACCACCCCTTCCCTCTCCTCACTAGCAATGAGTGACAAGACATGACTGTCTGTCATCATGGGCAAGGGATCACTTTTCCGTTTCCACTCATTCCTGTTGAAACTGTACAGCTCTTCCATGGATCTCACTGCAGCAGTCAGCTTCTCCAGGGCATTTCGGGCTGGCTTTGGGGTTTTACCTTCCTCCTTAATGTCCTCCTCCTTGGTTTTCTCTGGGGTCTTCTGAGCAGCAGCCTTGGAGACAATTTTGAGCACAGGCAGGTATGAGCCCTGCTCAGGTTTATTGGGGGCAATGGTGGCCACAGGCAGCCTGCCAGATGCCCTGTGAACCAAGACAGTCCCTTCTGGGGAGGAGGAGTTCAAGATCCTGCTGCTGTTCCCTTTGCCCATGCCTTCCCTGGGCTCCCGGTCCATGCTGTCTTCTCTCTGGTTCACTACAGCCTGGCACGTAATTACCATGGGAGACAGGGATCTGGATCCACCAGCTGCAGGAGCCAGCTGCCTGGGCTTGGACCCTGTCAGTCCCTGCTCTGGAGTAATGCTGCCTTTGTCACTGCTGTCCCCTGATCCTTTGATTAGTTTTCTGACATCTCTCACCTGGTGGAGGGGCCCTTGAGCCTTGGACTTGTCTCTGACATCTCTCACCTGGAACTGGGGCACTTTTTCCAGATTGTCCCCACGGAAGAGTTTCTGCTGTGCCCTGCTGTTGTCCTCAATGGTCTTAAAGAAGTTAGAAGCGCTGCCTCCAGCCAGCTTGGGTGTGAGCAATTTGGCAATATTGAAGTCCGAGCTTGGCTGTTGGACACTCCCCAGCCGGATCTTGATTTCGGGAGCCTTGGGTCTGATCACTGCCGTGGTTGTGGCCTGGGCAGCAGGGTACTTGGTGGCCTGCTTCCCTGGCTGCTTGTCCTTGGGCGTCTGCTGGATGTTGGGGACAAAGAGACGAGACATGATGGTGGACTTGCTGGCAGAGATCTCCCCGAGATCCGCCCTCCAGTCCCCGCCTTTGGGGAGCTTCAGCTTCCCAATGGGGGCTTTCTCTTCCCGCTTCTCGGCCCCTTTCTCCTTCCATGACCGAAAAGCACTGTTCTGACTGCGGAGAAAGATGCCTTTCACAGTCTCTGAGGCACTCTTTTTAATTTCACACACTTCAGTTTGTCCATCGGTGAAACTCCGGCCAGAACCTGCGTTGCCTTCTCGAGGAGTACTGGCTTTGAAAATTGGGGATTTAGACCCCTCCCCACCTGCGTCAGACACACTGACCACCGTGTACTCGGAACCCGCCTCTGAGTGGCGGGAATTCTGCCGCTGCAAGACCCTGTCTCGCAGTTTCTCAGCCCCAGAAGACCCCTCTGCTTCCTTGGAGGTGCCGGGGAGGTTGTGATGAGATGTGTCAGTGACTTCTCCCCTCTCCATTTTAAACTCGTGCTCCCGTTGCATCTTCTTGGAAATGACATTTTTGAGCAGGCTGGATGCAAACTTGGACTTCTTGTGGGGGCCTTCACCGCGGGGGGCAGGCTTGTTGCTCTCAGAGGTCTCTGAGCCATCATCTGTGCACACCGACCCAGGTCCCTTGCTGGAGCCCTTGGTGGCCCTGCAGGGTCCAGTGGCCGAGCTGGCTTTGCTCTCACTGCGTAAATTCAGGGGTTCCAGAAGAGTGACGACGCGAGAACCCGTTTGGATCTGTTTCTGGAAACACAAGGGTGTCTCCACATGTTTGATTTCCCCCTCGACTTTGCTGACCACAAATTCCAAGGCCTTGGTCTGGGACTTCTTGGACTGGATGTAAAGCTGGTCTGCAGGACCACGGGCCCCACTGCCCTTCCTCAGACCTGCAGCCACAGAGGCCGCGCTGCTCCTGAGAAGGCTCTGTTCCACCCTGGCTCCAACACCTCCACATTTTAGGTCCAGGAAGGTTGACCAGCGTCCAAAGCCCACTTCGGAGAGGGTGGTAGAGGACTCACGGGAGCTGATGTTCAGAGCCTCAAAGTAGGGGTAAGCAAGGCTCCGGAAAGCCCGGGAGGTCAGGTTACGCACCTCTTTGTCTGCATCGTCCAGTTCGCTCACGGCACTGGAGGCTCCGCTGGAGTAGTCCACCAGCTCCTTTGCCCGTATGGCCCCGCACCTGGTTTGCAGGCGAGCAGGGACAGCAATGAATTTCTTTGCATGGTCCTGAGCCACGGCTGCAGCCGAGTTTTGCTTCAGTGAACTTGAATTCTGTTCAGCAGCTGTAGAGACTCGGAGGCTCATGTCGCCTTCATGCTTGGCAGCATAAATAATGTTTTGCTTTGCACGCACGTTGCTAGGCTCATTTATAGCCCGGGAAGTTGGTTTGATTGATAGGAGGATCTGGCTTGCTGCACTCCCACAGCTGCTGGCGGTGGTGGAGGCTGCCCCTGAAGCTGCCTCCCGGAGCTCCAGCAAGGGCTCAGGCAGGGTGGCAGTGCCAGGCCCAGTGGGTGGGGGAGTAGGGTCACTGTCGGAGGGGACACTGCCCACTTCCGTGCTGCTGGTGTCACGACCACTGCTGCCTGCACTGAGGCGAACCAGGTCGCTACTGGTGGGGCTGGGTGTCCGGGTGGCATTGGTGCTAGGAGTGGTGCTGAGGTAGCAGCTGTTATCGTCGTCCTCTTCGGTGGGGGTGGTGACGTCCCCTGGGGTCTCGTCGCTGCCACCAAAGGAAGCATAATCCACAAACGAGTAGATCACGTTGTTGTCCTCGAAATCCCAGCGGGAGGCCAGCCCCACGTCGAAATCCATGTCCTGCTCCACCTCACTCAGCTGGATCTCATGGGTGGTGATGTAGTGAGCCTCTTCATTTTTGGGGGGATCCCTGTTACTCTGGGATTTGGCAATAATGTCCCTGCACTCTGTTCCATCTCCTGTCCTCCCTCCCCCTTCCTGCCCTTCTCCTCCTCTTGCTTTTTTCCCTACTTCTCCTCCCTTGGGTTGGCAACTCACTTCGCTCTCACTCTCAAAGCCTAAGGATGAAGAGGAGGTAGCCAGAGCCCCGGATGATGTGGCAGATTCATCCATTTTGGAAAGGCCATGGTCTTCTGCTTTGTCCACAGGGGAGGAGGAGGAGGAGTTGCCACCCTCATCAGTGGAGAGTTGGGAGCTGGAGCATTCCGAGGAAGCAGGGTTCTTCTGGGGGATTGGAGTCCTGCACTCTGGACTAGTGGGCTCATCCTGGGCTCTCTCCTTTGGGCTCCTAGAGGCTTTCTGATCCCCCGAGCGGTGTTCCAGTGTAAGTTTTACTGTCCGGGGACTCGCCCTCTGGATTCCGGCTGAAGCGCACATCTCCACATATTTTGCTTCTCGCTGGGAGGAGGCTGAAGGCTTGGGAAGTGGCCGCAGCTGCTGCCTGCGCTCCTGGCTGTCTTGCTTTCTGCTCACTGGATCCTGTACTTGCACCAGTCTGGCCTGCGAGTTCGGCTCAGGAGTGGCGGCTTCCATTCTGAGTCCTTGCCCAGGTTCCAGCGACAGGAAGAGGCAGTGGTGAGCACCCGGGCTGTCTTGGGTCCCTCTTTGGTCCTGGAGGGGCCGCAGTGTTGCCTGAAGCAGGGTCCCACGTGCCTGGACTGGCCCCAAGACTGTAGGCACCACTGCCACTGCTGTCACCACCTCCCAGGTCTTCAGCCCCTGTGGCGAGGCTGAGGCAAGGCGGAGGGAAGTGGGAAGGCTCCTGGATGGGGCGGCAGAGGTGGTCTGTGGCTGGGGGGCTGCTGCTCTGGCCGAGACTGCAGCCTGTGACTTGTGGCTGAGCTGGCCTGTCCAGTTATCTGCCTGGCACCGTGGGCAGCTGGGGGTCTGAATGCCATGAGCCACGGAAGAAGCAGCATCTGTAGGTCGACCCCTGGACTCCCAGAAATGAAAGCAAAGCATGTGCTGTTTCTTGTGAAGCCTTGTCCCTTTCCTGGATGGGGCAAGAAAGGGTCACGTCATTCCAGAAATATTTTTAGTGTCCATTCCTTAGTCATATCAAAACCACACTTGAGGGGAAGAGGGTAGAGATGAAAAGAGGCTGGGGGTGGAGGGATGAGGGTTCCAATTCAAATCAACCAAATGTTCTATGTAATCTATTATAGAGATGTCTAGCAAGTATGCAATTATTCTTTACTCGCTGCCATCTTTCTCTCCCGAGCCTCTGATTAAATGGATTTTCCCCCTTGTTCTGAAACAAAATTCAGATTTTTACACTGCACTTCAAACCAATTGAGGACACTCTGGAAATACTTCAAAATCTCCTTCATACATATGGTAGCTTTATATTTGCTTCAAAATCTTTGTGTTTCCTTTCTCTTTGGAAAACCAAATCAGAAGAGTTCTGGAAATAAAAACTTTTCATAGGAAAATAATATTTCATCCCTCTTTCCCCGAAGTGGCATTCTATGAAACATAACCTGTTGTTCCCAAATAGGAAGAATCCCTTCTAGAATCCTTGCTGTGATGACTCAAAGTACCAAAGGGTGATTTTCAAAGACCTGAAATTTAGTGCCTTAAATAAATTTTAATTATAGTCATGAAAAAAGGAGCACCTAGGGCCAAAGCTGACACTACTGCAAATCCCTACAATATCTACTCGATCTCAAAATGTTCCCTAAACTTGTAAAACCATGGCAAGACAATAAGCCCCAATTAAATATAGCCCAGGCTGCAAACTCACTGATTCTGTTTCGCTGGCTATATTCCAGGCCCGCAGGGCACGGAGTCAAAAAGCACGAAAGAACAAGGAATATGCTTACCCTTCATCAGTACAGTGCGGCTTGGAGGGAGGTTCAGAGAGGAAATGTGACCCGCTGGCATGCCCCATGGAGACAAAGCCAAATCCCAGTTCACTGCCTCTGAGCTACATCCATTTCAAACAAGTCAGTAGTTGTGCAGGCAAGTTTGCCAGGAAACCCAAGTGGGGGTCTGTGCTGGCCATCCTCAGAGCAATTCCTTGGGTACTACCGGTAGAGAACCACATCTTGATTTTGGTGAGATCTGGCCCTCATCACCTGCCAGGCCCAACTCCACCACTATACATAGTCTATGTGTCACTTACACCGATTGAATAAAGCACTATTTTAAACATCCACATTTGTGGGGAACAAAAATAACACCATCAGCCAGCCCCTTCCAATATGAATGCCACCCCCACACGGAAAAATGTTCTTTCCTCTGAATAGGCATGTGGGTAGGTATGAAGTGGGAGCCCCGAACAACTGAAGCATCCACCTTCTCACACTTGGGATGTGAACTCATAGCCATCTCCCGACAACTCCCTCTGCCCACACCATTGCCATTAAAAACACTACCCAAAGAAAGACTGGAAATATCAGGAATAAGAGTATGGATATAAAGTCAGAACTCTAGGCAAAGACAGAAGAAAAGAAAAGGAAAAAATGGCACAATAATCTTGGTTTCCTAATACTAGTCATAATAATAATTACAACTAAGACTTAAATAGTGCTTACTACATGCCAGGAACTACTTGAAGCACCTTTTAAATGTGTATATTATTTAACCTCATAAGAACCTGATGAGTTAGATATAATTATTGCACTGATTTTGTAGATGGAAAAGCTAAGGCACAGAACGGTTCAAAAATTATGGAGCAGCGTTCACATCCAGGCAATCTGGTTGCAGAGCTTGAATCTTAACTATTAAGCTACACAGTCTTACTGACTTCTACACTCACATACTATACAGGGTACCCAGATAATCAATTAGAAGAAGGAATTTATCCAATAGGTAATTTTATCTGCATGACCACAAATAAACCATGCAACAGTTTTGAGTTTTTTTTTTCATATAACCAACCTGTGTACATATTAAGTACTTAGGGATTAAGTAACATGATCCTATAAATAAAATGAAATAAAATATTGTTGGCTTCTTCAGGCAAGCAGAGTGTTTTCTTTTGCTCTGAGGTTGATCGTGCCTTGGCTGATAGATCCTGAAGATGGCCTCAAACACTGTGAAGCATACATACCCCATAGTTGAATAGAAGGCAGAGTTTCTGCCCATCAAAGCAATTATAGTCTAGGGAGGAATTTTTCCAGCACTTTCCATATGGCCCTGTCTGTCATGACAACACAACAGATTTCAGCAGAATTTCTCCCAGCAGTTGGCAAACTACAAAATTGCAAGGTCAGATGTCCCAGATGCAGGTTAAATCATAACTTCAATACCCCCAGTTCTGAAAAATCTCCCTCCAGAGTCTTGCTCCCTCAGAGAGCACAGTCCTAGCAAGCCTCTCCAAGAGGCTGTTCTAAAATAGGTACTTACCTTCAAGATATCTGTGTAGCTCTCTTTCTGCTGTTTTATCTAAATGAATGGCAGTACAGGAAAAAAATAAAGGGAAAACTTTTTCAAATAAATTCAATTTCCAAAAAATCAGTTTTAATTCGAACCACAATTTCTTCAAAAACTTGGAATAGGACAGACTCTACCTCTTAAAAGAAAAAAGTCCATAAATGGAAAAACAGTGACCAAATTTAGGGTAAAACAAGAACTCGAAACTTCTTGCCTCCTGGCATTTTCAGAGTCATTTTCTGGGTGATTTTTTTGTTACAATGAAAATAGATGCTCTCAGTTCTGCTGAAATAACTTTCAGTCCATTGGTAGCCATATGGCCTTTTTATTCCTTAATGTGACTAGAGTCATTTTTTTTTTACAGATGAACTCAGTGATTGCCTACCTGATCTCACTTCTTGAGCAATTAACAGTGACTAATGTTACCAGCATTAACCCAGGGTAAGTGGGCCCACTTACTAAGCCAGGCAAGGTATACTTGGTTGATAACTTTATATGGGAATTCAAAGAGCAACAAAGGAAGTGACTCAGCATCATTATTTTTGTCTCTGTAGAGAAAGTTTCTCAGTATTCCCTGAAAGTCTTCTGAAATGTATCACTGTATGTAAAACTTTAACATGATTAAAGAAATGAAGAATGAAAGCCAGATCATCTGCCAGTTAGGAAAAGGATATGATTATATTTAGGGTCTCTGACAGTGGCATAATGGGATAAATAATATGTCATCGAAAAAGAAGAACAGTTTATCGAAGGTAGACCAAGACCGGAAATGAAGAGAGAGATTAAATGCAAACCAGAAAGGAGACAAAGGACTTTCCAAACACAGACATTCTCAGATTCCCTGGGATGAGTGAGAGGTATTCTTTAATTGCCTTATTTATGCACAATGGTATAAAAGAGGTTTTTCTTTCCTTTTTTTTTTCTTTTTTTTTTTTTTGAGACAGGGTCTCACTTACATTGTCCTAACTGGCCTTGAACTCTCAATCCCCCTGCCTCAGCCTCTCGAGTTATTGGTATTACAGGTGTGTACCATCGCTCCAGGAGGAAGAAGGCTTTTCTTCTGGCCAGTGCTTAATGCCCTGTGGACAGCTGTTTCTCTCTGGCCCAGGTAGAAATAACATTTGAAGGAAAGGCACCATGTTACCTTTTGTTGCTGAGGGTGAGAAAGAGTATTATTTAGTTTTTGAGGTAAATGTTTTCCATGTTTTGCTTATCAGTCCTCTCAATCATACCATGAAAGAGCAATTATTATTCCCATTTTATGCATAAAATAATTGAGGATGAGTGAAGACATGTGTCCTATATGACCTTTACAATTAATAGTAAGTGTTGGAGCCCTGATTGCATCCCAGCTCTGAGCAACCCAAGCCCACGCTCAGTTGGTGGTTGAGCATTCAGTCTATGAGGTGGAGGTCACAGGGCCAAGCCCACTGCTGGCTACCACCACAACCAGCTGCCTGTACTCAGCACCAGCTGGTCTCCATGGAGTCCAAAGAAACGGAGTGGCAGGATTCGTATAAGACTATCCCTGTGAATAGAAAAACAGCATGTACCGTGAGGATGAATAAGTAGCATCGTCTTCTTGTGCAAAGAGAAAAGCACCTTATTGTAGAGTCACATTCACACCGTAGATGCAACCCCTTAGCCATGCCCTTAAAACTTGGAAGGACAGAGAGGAACAGTTCACCACCAGAAATAAAATCTTACTAACACTTAAGCCTGCACACACAGGCCTCAGGTAGCACAAAATAGGTTTGACTTTTCCCCTTGAGCCAGGATGCTCTATTTTCTTCTCTGGTCTTCCTCCTCCTCCTTCTGCTTTTTGAATGGTCTCTTTGGCAGTTTGTTGTCTTTTCCCTACCCCTACTCTTTCTCTCTTTCCTTCTGGCCCTGACTTGTTATCTCGGGCCATAGTTTCCATTGGGTTTCTCCTAAGGGAGCTGTGAAGGTTTTAATGTTTCAGATCTTACTGGATAAAGGAAAATGATCCTTTCCAGTCCAGCCTCAAGGTGGAACATCAACAAGCAAACAAATCTTTCTCTACATCGTACTTAAAATAATCTAACTCTCTTGGTCCATCTTGCCCATGATCTCTGTTATCCTAACCTGCATGATGTAGGAACCAGACTTGCCAAAGGTCCCTTCCAAGTCTGGGAAAGTAGCACAGAGAAGATGCCTTATTAGGTTTTAGCAAATTACAGTCAATTTTTCTAACTTGGCATTGAAACAGAATTTAATTAACCAGCCAACTCAGCTGCCTGACCACAGAATCATGTGGATGACTTATTGCTATGATTCTTAACAAGCATTCTTTTTTCCCTTTTATTCTTGATATTATAACTTGGGTCCTAAAATCTTGTTTCTGTCTTCATCTGCTTTGAAAAATGTTTATTTTCCCCAAATTTCTGATTTTAGACATCCACAATTTCAAATATGGACCTCCAAAAATTGACTCAATATTTTATTTTTCAATATTCTATTTCCTTTGAATATTCCTTTGAACATCTCATTTCTTCCCTTGCTTCAAATCACACCTTCAAATCTGCTCAACACTCAAGACCTAAGATGCAAATTAAAGCAACTTTTGAGAAA